CGCTCCTCGCTTTCAGCACGTCAAAGAGGCCATCCCACAGCGGAACCCCCGTGGGACGGTGCTGCGCTCAGCACCGCCGGCAAAGCAGAGCGGGCAGGGCTGAGCCCATCCCCGGGGCTCCGCGGCGGGTACCGACCTGCCCGGGGGGCTGCGTTTCCCGAGGCAGGTTTTGCACAAGATGCTGGGAGCCGCGCTGGGGTGTGCACACAGGCCTGCAAAATAGCGTTGCCCTCCAGCAAAGAAAGTTCTCGAGCCTGGACAGGGGCCAGAATAAATTAATTTCTCCTTTCCCTAGGATAAAAAACAACATTCTGTTTAAATAGAATTATAGGAACATAAAATTTGTCATACTCAATAAGACGCGTCCTTTTCAGTCTGGTACCGTGCCTCCAGTTGCAATCAATATTTGATGGAAGACTTGTAAGGGCTCCAGCAGCTTTATACCTTCACTGACATTTTGGCAGCATCTGGCAGTACCTCTTTAATTAAGATTCTTCTGGACCAGTGTTTCGATCGCGTTGTTTATACACCTTCATTTTGGAAGAATTATAACTTGGCCATTAAATTTCCCCTTCCAGTGAATCAGTGCGCAGCCTGGGAGGGTTTTTATAGAATAAAAATGATGGAAGATTGTTCAGTGAGGCAGTATTTGTCCCTGATGGAGAGGCAGTTTTTCTATGTGTTAACCAAGTGAGTGACTTGCCTTTTTAAGAGCTTAATACCAGCTCCCAGGTAAACCTCTCTGTGCAGGGGGTCTGTGGTGGTCTGCCACATGTGTTAATAATGTTCCTATTTCTGCTACCACCGAGCAAGAGGAGGTAACAGCGCTCGCCCAAGAGGAAAAGTGAGCCAGCAGCTCCTGGAGTTGTTCATGTGCTTTTCTCCTCCGTAGCGCAGAAGGGTGGTTTTACCCTTATTTTGCAAAACTTCTTGCAATTTAAGGTTGGCTTTTGCCTTGAGTCCTCTGAGAAGGGCATCTCCTAACTGCAGTGATGTGCTACACGGTGAGACCACAGCTCCTTGGACACAAGGTGTTTTCCAGCACTGGGGAGTATTTTCCCCCTTGGCTGAGGGAACACGAGTTCTGGAATCCCCATGATCTCTGGGAACATGAGTTTAAGGCCATTGTGTCGGTAGCAATACCCACGAGGAGTCTGACTTCACATTTAACTGCCCGAAGTGGGTTTGATGGGTTTGTAAGTGGGAAGGAAAGGACCGCCCCATGAGGCAGGGCTGGCTCTCTCTGTGGTCCGGGCTCTTGTTTCTGCCAGTGCTGATGGCTGGATGCTTCAGAGGAAGGTAACGAACTCCCCAAGTCCCGCCTGCACAGTCCCCACCTACCTGGAGGGGAGATTGCTTTTTAATGAGACAGTCTGTAGCTGGCGATGCCGCAGCGTATAAAGCTTGCTAAATCTTTTTATCCTGCCTAACACAACTGCTTGTGTATTCTCAAAAAATAAAAGCACCTAATCCTTTCCTCGTGAATCCCACCGAGCCCTTGGCCTCTGTTATCTGTTGCAAGGTGTTGCACGGTGAGTATGGTCGTGCCTCTCCAAGTCAGCCCACACAACGATGCCCGTGATCCCACGGGACGAGGCCGGGCACCTTCTAGGCTGCGGTTGGCTTTGGGTTTCTGCTAATGGTGAGCCTCCTGCTGGCAGCAGGGTTTTGGCAGCAGCATCCAAAGCTTAATGAAGGTCCTAGGGTTTGATTGTGTTAGGTGGATCGGTCTGGATCTTTCCACTGTCAGTCCTCTTGTTTGTCCATCAGTCAACACCTTCTCTCTGCTGGCGTGTTATATCCGAACTAAAACTCAACAGTGGCTGCTGAAAGGCACTTCAGTCTGAATTTTATCTTAAAAAATACTTTTCTGTCTTTTGTTAATTTAAATTATATATGTGTGTGTGTGTGTATGTGCATATGTTCCTTTTTGAAAAGGAAATGCCCTGTTTGATGGTAGCAGGGCTGCTCTCCCAGAGCATCCCTGACCGCACCTTGGCAGCTTGTTTCTGTCTCACACTCAGGCGATTCCTTGTAAAAGCTGAGAGCTTTGTGTTTTTGTAAATGTTATAAACATTGTCTGGTAGTAGGAAAACAATTCTAAATCAGCTTGTAAAGGCAGTGCTGGAAGGTGATCTCAGACGTGCCAACAGCCGCCTGGCGTTGTGGGGCAGACTGGGTGACAGTGAATGTCTCTGTTCTCTTCCAGGTGCCTCAACGAACCACTTCCATATCCCCTGCTCTGGCGAGGAAGAACTCCCCAGGCAATGGCAGCGCCCTGGGGCCCCGGCTGGGCTCCCAGCCCATTCGGGCAAGGTATGGACACCGAGGGAGACAGCTACTGCCTGCCCTCCTCCTGGCATCTCCCCGCTGGGGAGCCCGAACTTGGGCTGGAGTTTAGCCCTGCTTTTGCTGACTGGTAACAACACCAGATTTGCAATGCTTCTCTTGTAGCTGGGATGAGCAGTGCTTTCATGCAATCGTTCAGGTTGGAAAAGATCTTTAAGATCACCAAGTACAACCCTGCCCAGCCCACCACTACCCCATGTCACTGAGCACCTCATCCACATGTCTCTTAAATCCCTCCAGGAATGGTGACTCCCCCACCTCCCTGGGCAGCCTGTTCCAGTGCCTGACAGCCCTTTCCAAGAGGAAATTTTCCTAATATGCAACCTAAACCTCCCCTGGCACAACTGGAGGCCATTTCCTCGTGTCACCTGGGAGCGAGACCAACCCCCCACCCCCCACACACACCCTCTTTTCAGGGAGTTGTAGGGAGCGATCAGGCTTCTCCCGAGCCTCCTCTTCTCCAGGCTGAACCCCCCCAGCTCCCTCAGCTGCTCCTCACAGGAATTGTGCTCCAGACCCTTCCCCAGCTGCTTTGGACACGCTGGAGGTTTTGCTCCCTGGGCATTGCAGGTTTTGGAGGTGGATGCTGCATCTGCTGCAACAGGAATTTGGGCGCTCCCCTTAGTGGAATTAGGTTCTGGTTCTCCCAGTGTCACCTCTTGCACATTAAGGGGATCCATATAAGCCAGTGGGGAGATCTCTGTGGTGCGTACTGTACATTTCCTACACATCAGAGATAATGACCAAGGAATGTGCTGGGGAACAGAGCCTGATACAGCTTGATGAGATCTTCCTTATATGTGATCAAGGATTAAATTCCTTTTGGCTTCCTAGGAGCAGGGCTTTTAGCTTAGCCAGATCCAGCTCTCCGGCGTGGCGGTGCGCGGGGCGTGCTCGTAGCCCGCCTAGGAAGGATGCTGCACCGCATCCGACATCTTCTGTGAGCTATCCCTGGGCATGTTTGGAACGAGCCGGGAAGTTGACAGGCTCTGCTCAGAGCCGGATGGAAAAAACGTGGCTTAGTCATGCGAGAGCTCCTCTCTGGTTTGCCGAGCATCGTGGGCACATCTAGGGCTCAGACAGGCAAATCTCGGGGTGAATATGTGTTCCACGTAGCCTTGCTTGATGAAGCCTTTTGCTTGCTTCTCCCTGCCTTGTCCTTTCAGGGTGAGGTCGAAAGACGAACGCTGGGATGTTCATAGCCGTGTGGTGTCTCCATTTTTCATCTTCCTTTCCAGCTCAGTGCCCCAGCCGTGCATCAAGCAGACTCACGTACAGTGGGCAGCAGCTTGGAGAGGCTGGCAGGGGGAGCAGACAGAAGAGGGATCTTTCTTGTAGTTGCTGGGTTTTTTTTAAATTAGACAAAAAGCCCATTTATATCATGATTGGTTCCTCTGTTGCTCAAGGCTGAATTCTTGACAATGTCGTTCCTCTAATTAGCTGTTGCTTGAAGAAAAAATTAAAATGCAGAGGGATATTGGACTGCGTAGTCCTAGTGAGTGACTAGGAGTAAGTATTGAAGTCAAAAGGATAATGGGAGTCTGTGGGATTCAAGTTGAAGGTTGCCCAGTGTTGCCTTCAGCCTCCCAGTGTGGGCCAGTACAGGTAAATTCATTAGTGTTATTTTATTTAAATACGCTTCATGAATTAATTTGGCTAAGGACATGTCAGCTGTACAGTATGAGCTGGAGGCCTTCGGTTTGATGAGAATTGGAAATGATGAGGATGCTACCATGTCCATTAAACTGAGTATCCAGTGACGTGGTTTCACATTTCATTTCTTGCAGTAACGTAGCATTTCTCCAGTTTTCCTTTTTAACCACCTCTCTGATTGGTTCGTGATTCCTCCCGTGCATAAATGTAACTATTATTAAAATATGCTATCTTTTATTTGATACCCAACTGTAACAAATGAGAGGGTATTTCCTTGTGCATGGAAGGTTACAGTCTTGATCTCATCATTTTAATACCCACCTGTGTCAATGTGAGAGAGCACTAGAAAGGATTTTATATAACAGTGACACTAAGCAGCGTCCAAACGGTTCTGCCAGTGACCTTTGCGCAGTTCGCACCCTCGTGGTCGCTCCCTGAGGGACGCGGTATGCACGCTCTGCGCTTACGTCATATGGCACTTTTTATGTACACGAGGTCCCAACTGGACTCGGTGGAGAAAGCTTTCTGTACGTTTTTCACGGGAATTTGGATAGTAAGGTCACTTAACAGGAATATTGTATAAAAGCAAATTGCGTTACTCCGCGTGAAAATGTCTTCAGGTGTCATTTCAGGGCTAAATAAGAGTTCATTTCCTAAGGGCATCTTACACCCAGAGAGAGGTTAGTCACTCTTTGTGTATCAAGGATGCTTTGTATTGTAGGTTTATGTATCTTGAGAAATCAAGGCAGAAAAGTGGGTATCTGATGCGAGTCTGAAGTGAAGCCAGTGAAAGGTGGGAAGTGTGAATAAGTGGCAGAAGTAATCTGCAGCCTTGTTTCAAACTTGAGATCCTTCCTTCACTGGGACATTTCCTTCTCTAACAGCGATTTGCAAATTCCTGCATTTATGAGGAATGGCGGTGGTTTATTCAGATAACTCCAGCGTTGCACATCTACCAGCTGAACAGGAATTCTGAGCAAAGAATCTTTTAATTTTTGCTAAATTTGGTAAAGGAAGAGTAGAATTGGCTCTAGCTAACTTTTCATCATGGTTCTGGTTCCCCTCCATGAAGATGTTGAGTGTCTAATTCATCTCCCATGGATTTCCATGGGGCTTGGAGTCTCCACAGCTTTGAGGAAAGACCTCATCTGTCTCTTCCCGAGCAGAGGAGGTGCCTCCTCACCTTCCAACTGTCCCTGTCGGGGTGGGAAGGATCTGAAGCCCCGGAGGCGTGTGTGGCTGATGGTGACCCTCTTGTTTTGTGCTCCTGCAGCAACCCAGACCTGAGGAGGACGGAGCCCATCGTGGAGAGCCCCCTGCAGAGGACCAGCAGCGGCAGCTCCTCCAGCTCCAGCACTCCCAGCTCCCAGCCCAGCTCCCAGGGCGGCTCCCAGCCGGGCTCCCAGGCTGGCTCCAGCGAGCGCAACAGAGTCAGAGGTGAGGTGGCTGCTGCTTGAGAACGTCCCTCAGCGCCTGGCGTGCTTTCTGGGGCCGTTTGAGAAGCGGGAAGGGCAAGAGGTCTGTGATCTCATGTACGTTTTTTAAAAAAATCGAAGGATTCATCACTTCTGTGGTACTTTGTGACCAGCTGGCCTCCTTACAGACAGGGATGCCGATGCTCCCTTTTGCCTGGATGCGGAAGTAGGATGCAGCATGTGCCGCTCCCGTGCTCTACTGACACATTGCGGTGCCACGTAACTTAGAAAGGAGATGGGGGTTATGCTCTAGGGTGACAAAAAAGAAAGAAAATAAAAGAATACCCGCATACTCCCTATCTTCATTGACCCAAACTCGCTTTTTCTGCGATGGTTTCTTTGGGATTGTTTCCCTCTGGGTGGGTATCTTTTTTTTTTTTTTTCTTTTTCTCCCTTGTATTTTTAAGCTTTATCTTTGTGCAAAGCTTGAGATGGGAGCAGAGGAGTGAATTAGCTTTCCCTAAAATGCTTTCAGCAGGCAGCCGTGTTTACACTGGGTTTATGCTCCTAGCTGAAACATCTCCTCTCATCCTAGAGCCGCTCTTAACGATATTCCAGTCCCCCCTTGAATCGCAGTGCGAGTTGCTAAAGCACATACAGCCCGGACATCTGCATTTCTGGCACAGCCCCGCTGTATAAATCCCCAGGGCTGAAGCACATTAAAACAAACGCTGCCTCCCTGCTTTGAATTTTTTATGACTTGGCCATAAGGTGAGGTGTCTGTTGTCGAAATCATCGCTTCTCTGGGTAGTCAATAAAAGGAGTGTATCGCCGACCGTCCTTTTTGGTTTGGCTTCGCTTTTATTAATGAGGAATCCTGTGACAAATACTGTCCTGGCAGTGTCGGATGCTGCAGAGCTTTTAATTTATCACATGCCCTGCTCTTTTGCAGAGTGGATTTGTTTCTTTAGGAGAAAAAGGGGCAGCCGTGCTGCAAGAGGGCTGTCTGTGGGGGCTGGGCTGGACTGTGACTTCTGTTCCTCTTTGGAGGGACACTCCATATAGTCAGAGAGGAGCAGGAGGCTTTTTCGAGGCAACAGAAGCAAAACCTAGTGAAACATTATTAGTTGGACCAAAATCACCTATTTACAGGTCATCCAGTCCTGTGCCTGGGATGTCCTGGTCTCCTTCCACCACCGTCCTGTGCGTCCTGGGAAAATAGCTGGGAAATTGCCCCAGTGCAAGGGGGAGGATGATGAACCCTTCCCCCCCACCCTGTGCCCACCCGTCCTGGGCGATGGGATGCAGCGATGGCTTTCGGCAGCATTTTAACTCCCGCCCTCTCCGCTTGCCTTTTGCCCAGGGAATGCCAAGCCCGAAGGGTCCCCTGTGCTCTCCCACGAACCTGCCAAGGTAAAGCAGGAAGACAACCGGGACGTGACGCGACCGAGCCGACCCGCTGTGAGTCTTAAATTATTTTCCGTGGGAACGTGGCCAGCCGGCTTGGCCATGTTTCCCTTCGGCGCGTTAGCACAACCGCGGGGACCCCAAAAAAGAGGCTAGTACCGTTGTTCCTCCAGCAGAGAGACTGGAAAGCGGTGGTACGGCCGTTGGGAGATTGGAATGCTTAAAAGAGTGCATGAGGTTTTTTATCAGAAGCCCAAGTCTGGGGGAAAGCACTTAAGCCTGGGTTTTCACGTGAAGCAGATGCTTAAGGGCTTTGCTAGCTTGGGCGCGGTGGTTGCCGATGGCACATTGTTGTGTTCCGTGCTGCATGTCCCCCCCGCAGCAGCCCGGCGGAGGGATGCTCTGCTCGGGAAGGCTGGACGACCAGCCCCTGACAGCCTTCCCAGCTTAAAACCAAACCCGTGTTCTCCGTACGCTCGCGTTCTGTTACTCTGAGCAAAATCTCATCCGAAGTGTTTTCCTCCTGGTTTAATGCTGTTGACATATGTATTTTAAAACTGCAGAGTCGGCCTAATAACAAAATGAATTTCCACTGCTGCTCTTTTTTAATGTGTATTAATGTTTTGTTGATGTTGTTTTTTTTCTCTACACTCCACAGCGTTGAGCTAACAATTCTAATTTTATTTCTAACCTGCTTGCCCTTCCTCTGGCTTTTTCCCGTCCCGATCTGTTTCCTCTGATGCTGATTATTCTTCCTTTACCCACAGAGCTATAAGAAAGCTATAGATGAGGTTAGTGATATCTTTTCTCGGTGGGTCATGCCTATGCAAGGTTGACTAGTTAGCGCTTAATATCGAGCCGGGTGTTGTTGGTGCTGACATCGCAAAAGGTGGCAACGCGGTCTCGGGTCAGACGGGAGACGCAACGATTGCGTTTCGGCGGAGGGAGCCTGCCCGCGGGGAGGGGAGCGGCGTTGCCGGTGCGTTCTGCTCAGCCGTGGGCTGCCTGAAACCCGCTGGCCAGACCACTTGCATGGAGGCCGTGGCAAGAAGCACCCCGGCTTTCGCGCGCGGAGCAAAGGGCGCTGTCGGTTTTCGGCGTACTTGAAAGTGGAAGAGTCTTGTGCCCGGTGGAGGTTGTCGGGGCAGCCGGCACCGCTCATCACATTCTGCTCTCAGCTACAGCCCCCCTGGCCGCCGCTGATTTCAGTGGGACCATTGAGTGTGATATGAAATGCATTTTAAACCTAATTCCAGTGAAGATGCTCAGCAAATAAAGGAAAACAGGGCAGTGGGATACAGGGGTAATTCCTTCTCACAGACCAGACCATCAGCTAAAAGCCCGAGTCAGCAGAGCCGTCTTGGATGTTGATGGGCAATGCTCATCTTCATCCATCCTCGTAACTAAGCATCCTGAGTTGCACCGTTTTCACCATGTGATAATATTTTAGAAGTGCATCTGGCCATGGCGAACGTTTAACTGTTCGTGAGAAAAGACCAAACATTCCTAATTTTGCATTTAACTTGCCTCACGCAGGCACTGCTGTGCCCGCGCTGCTCATACTGGTGACTGCGGGCTGCGGTGGAAAGCACTGGTATCAGCAGCCTCTCCTGCAGCCTCTTTCCTCTAAAAATGGAAGATAAGAAGGAGGGAAGATCTGCTGGTTAGTTAACTTGTCCTCTTGGATGAAACATGAGCAGTGCGTTTTGTTTAATGAGGTGCTTTGTTAAGAAAAAAGCACATAAATCAGTGTCTAAATAGAGGCCGTGTGTGTGCTAAATTCAAGTCCAATGAGCTATGTGATTTTTGGAAACCAATCTGACTTGATTCCAGCAAATATTAAATCTCAAGAAGTCTTTGTAATTAAAAGTAATTAGAAAGCACTGATACTGCTAACTTATGTATTATGTCACCCTCAGTAATAACATTTCAAACACATGTGGAGCTACAGAGCACTTCCTTTCTAGTTGTCAGATTGTTTTTGGTCCAAGAGCAGCTCAGTGAAGCCGTTTAATCCTACAAAGTGCTCATTACTTAGAGAAAACGATAGCATCAAAGAATTAACCATCCCGAGGCAAAGCTTTAACTGAGTTATCTGATGATATTGTCTGGGAGTATTATTGCTGTTATAACTTCCAAATGAGTTATTAAAAACTAATTAAGCTGATTTTTCAAATACTTGACTATCTTGTAGTGATGACCTCGGAAGGCTGATAGGGTGCCTCAAAACACGTTGGGAATGGAAGGTGCAGAAAAGGAGTAATCCTCACGGTCCATCGCTATGATGGAGAAGGGTTTAGTGCCGGTCCGGCACTGCAGGAATGTCAGCTGCAGTTTTAAGAGACTCCTGCACGGTGCTGAAGTCCTTTTTATAACTGAGAAAGCTCTGATCCAACTCAAAGGCGAGTGCTGTATGAAGAGAGTATTTTACACTCTAAATGGAAAGCATTCTTAAGCTGTTCAAATTTTCATTGATTCTTATTTAAGAAAAGGAACAATCGTATCATAGAAGCTGCTGCAGCACTAATTAAAATAATTTGTTGTCATGACTGCGGATTTGACTGCATTTCAATCCCAAACATGTTGGCATTGAAAATAAACTCTTGTAATGCCACATTTTCTCTTTGACCCTTTTAAAGAGCCTTTTTGTAAAGGTACAGAGAGCGTTTGGATTTGAAGAGGGATATATAATACCCATCACAGGTACCTGCTGGGAAGCAGGGATGGATCCTGTTGTTAAAACAACTAGTTTATTTGAGGTATACTGACGTTCACAGGAGCGATGCAATGCCCTCTGATGTCGGTGGGAGTCTCTGCTCCACATCAGGGTGCCGGCAGGGCAGACCTGGGAGCAGAATGTGTGGCTGTCCGCCAGTGGGAGCCTGCCGGGAGGTGTGGGTCACCAACAACCCGAGTCCAAATTGCTTGCCAAATATTCCTGCTTCACGATTAAAATTCACTGGGTCTGCATCTCAGCCGTAGAAGTTTTCCATCGTTCTCTTCACGCGTCGACGGGATAGATTTTAGGAGCTCCCTTTGCCACCGTTAATTAATACTGCCGTAGTCGCCCTGCTGGAACGGTAACCTGGAAATGCAGTAAATGAGAGTATGGCCGTAAGACAACTGTGGAATTTAGTCTTTTTCAATGAGTTTCTTTCTCCCTAATCCTTTATCTCTGACCGAATGCACTGATGCCTACCTCGGTCACTAATATAGGGAGAAATGGTAAGACTGGCAATTGCGATGCTGTGTTCGTCATGTGCATGTCTTGTGCAACAGAGTTCTCTAACCCATTCTAATTCGAGCTCTCATGCTTTTCTGCCCTACTGCTTCCCCCTGCATTGCTATAAAAGCATGTAAGATAACAAAAAGTCTCTTTTCTACACGGTGCCTGCCATGTTCCTTGTTTTGAAATAGCAGTGTCTATTTTATATATGACTGTCGGGTCTGAGGCCACATCAAAGTCATGGTAAACTGAAAAATTATTACTGGGCTTTGGGACTGCTCCTCTCTTTTTTTTTTTTTTCTTATTTTGAGGCTTTTCTTTTTCTTTTTTTTTTTTTTTTCCCCCTTAGCTTGTAGGCTGCCACATTTCACATAAAGTGCTTAATGGGTCCCGCTGAGGGATACTTTTTTTTTTTTTTTGGGGGGGGTTTTGGTCATGTGGCTGACTCAGAGCTGTGACTCCAAAGTCTGGCTGAGCTGGGCGCTTCTCCTCGTGCTCCTCACCGCCTCTCGGCAGCCGCCCGACGGCGGAGACTCACCATGGAAGCAGCTCTTGGCGTGGGGATTGCACCACTCCATGGGAGATGCTGTCATTGCTTCCTTCCCAGATGCATTTATTACAGAATAAATACACTTACAGGGTCTCTCTGAGATGTTTAAAAAAAGAGAAGACCCTGCAGGAGAAATTCTCTGAGCCAATCTTTGAAATGACGTTGTTTTCCAGTTTACTATGATGGTGACTGAACTTCACCTTCTCCAACAAATATAATTTTGTCGTGTATATACATATAAGTGTGTGTATATATATGCACATACACGTTCCAAACAGAAAACGAAGAGGTTGGCTATTGATTTTTTCAGTGAGCGTAAACCAGTTTTGTTTTGTTTAATAAATGCTACATGCTACAAACATTGTCTTACGTTCGTCTCATGTTTGTAACGACTCTGTAAAGCTACTTCTTGTTGCTCGTGATGTTAGCATTGGCTTTTGAAGAGATGTATGTGACCTTCTCCTCGCTTTGAATATAATAGCCAGCGCTTTCTTGTTTTCTTGCCCCCATCCCCTTCAGGATCTGACGGCCTTAGCCAAAGAGTTGAGGGAGCTGCGCATCGAAGAAACCAATCGTCCCCTAAAGAAGGTGACGGACTACTCCTCCTCCAGCGAGGAGTCGGAAAGCAGCGAGGAGGAGGAGGAGGACGGGGAGAACGAGACGCATGATGGGACCGTGCCCGTCAGTGACATCCCACGGCTTATGTAAGAAGCACTTTCTTTTGGAGGGGGCAAACTGTGAAAGTGCACTGTGTCTCGGGCTGGAGGAGCAGTAGCTGTGATATGGGACGTGTCCCAAGTGCGTTGATGTTTGGTGCCTGGCACAGTGTCGTGGTTGCAAGGGCTAATTTACTCACATGAGTTTTTTTTCCTGGTCCAAACTAGAAATACTTAATTATACTGAATTATTTCCACTGCGTGTTCGGTTAATTTGGACTCTGAGCCGATGGACCTATGCCTGCTGATGAGCAAGGCGGGTTTTTGGGCAGAGTGGATGCACCTGACTTCATCCACACCTTGCCTCCTGCCTACGGGGTTGGCCTGCTAGAGCTCCACCTGCTCTTGAGCCTGGGCTTGCCCCAGATCAAGCCACGCGGAAGGGCAGTACTCGGTGGCCTGCGCAGTGCCAACTGTTAGAGCCAGGATTATAATAATCCTGAATCTTTGTCTTTGGTTTTTTGTCCTTGGCTCAGTCACTGTGCAGGCAGCAAAACGCGGATGAAACGAACTGTCGGCAGACTGTTGCGTCCCTGTTCTGGGTCACAGGACACTTGTGCTTTTGACTATCTCTGGCCAAGGGAGGAGGGCAGCAAGGCTGCAACACGCACAAAAGCTGTCGTCACACAGAGCGAGCTCGCGGAGCATCCCTGCCCGGGCTCCCGCCCCTTTGAATTCGCTGAAGAGTTGTGGGAAGGCTTTAGGAGATCATTTTAATCAGTTCATTCCCACTCTTCCTGATAAATGAATTATTAGTCAATACGGGCATACCTGGCTTTGTAGCGTTGGGGTGTGGAGTGGTAGGGAAGCCCTCCAGGCTCTGTATTACAGCGTGCCAAGTTCCTGGGCTGGAGCTTCCTTCCACAGAAAAATTAAAATCAGAGCCCTTGGAATCTGTTGGAGAAAATCAGGAGATGGAGGGATGGCTATGAATATGCAGGGTCGGATGGGCAGTCACGCAGGCAAGAAGGGCCCTCGGGCTGCTTGTGATGAAGAGTTTAATCAGGCGTGGTTAATCTGTGCTGACATCCTTCCACCAAGCACCTCGTGTTTGACACAGCACTTTGCAGTGGATGCAATACCCCACTGAATGCTTTGCAGCCAGATGTGTCGGACGATGGGCACGGCAGTGGGAGGGATGCCCCAGTCCCGCTGCCAGCCGAACGCTGCTTGTGCTGTAGCATCCTGTCCGTGAACGTGCCCCTGGGGCTGAACGTTGGGGTGCAAACCCTGGGTGTCACAGTGAGGTGGCAGGAGCCCTGTCCTTATCTGAGCCTCCATGGGGACTGTGGGCATGGCTGCTCTGCTGTGTGCCCGGGGAAGAAGGAAGCGAATAAGGCTTTACACCCTTATTGCACAAAAGGAACCTTAACTCAAGTTCAGACTAGATATAGTTGGACATTTTTCTATCAAAGCTTTGTTTTTCCCATGTTCAGTGTTTTTCCATTAGAAACTGGGTCCAAGAGAGGTCATCTCATCTCCTCCGCCTACCAAGTGATCCTGGTATGACCCATTTTTAAAATTCCCTGGGCACTGGGCTGCTCTTCATTCCCACTCTGTCCGGATCTTTTATGCTGAGGGATAAGCCCATCCATCGCTCTCTGTCCCAGTGGATAGGAGGGACCATTTACTCCTTCAGTCTCTACATACACCTTTTCTACACCTGAAGTCTGTGATGACTCCCTTCACCTCCCTCTCCTCTGGGCTGTACAAGCCACACCTTGCTCATGTCCAGGGATTTCTTGGCAGGGTGACACTGAAATTTGGAACCTCGGGGCTACCACAGCCATTCATTCACTCACCGTGTGGGCTCAAAATTAGCATAATCTCCTTTGCCTCAGGTTTCTTATGTCTAAAATCGTTATTTTCCCATCCTTGGCGGTGTTGGAGCAGTGACAGTAGGAAGGGGGTGCAAGCTCCTCGTGTGGAAGGTACGTCACGCTGCCAGGCTCCCTCGTGAGCCTCTGGGCACTGACAGGTCAGTGCGCGTGGGGGTGACGCGTTGAAGAGTGAACTCGTTCACGCTGACGGAAAGCAATCCATCTGCATGGCTTGAAACGCGAAGGAACGGAATCTCATCAGCAACGTCTTCGCAAACACCGTTGACATTTTCCGGCACGCAGGCAGGGCTGGGTAATCCAGAGGCGCTTCATCATTTGCCTTTGGATTCGTTTGAATGATGTTTAAGCAGCTGGTCTGCTAAGCACGTAATAATAAAGTAACGGTGGCTCCTCGCCGCCTGCGACACGCACTCTCAGGCAGCCCTGAAATTTAATGTGTTTGAGGATAAATCCCAGGCTCTCTCTTGGCATGGGAGCACAGGAATTAAGGCAAAATCATGGGTTCGGGCTACGTTTTCACCTGGAAAACAGCAAAAAGCATCAGGGTGCAACTTGTACTCCTGTCCATCCCCTCCTCCCAAAGCCCATCCCCTCCCCTGTTGTCTTTTGTCATTGGATGCTCTTGATGCACTGCTCTGTTTTTAGGGGTTGAGATGGGGAATAAAAGGAGTGAACTGTCCTTTTTTAAACTTAAGTAGAAAAAATGGCTTAAGGTAGAGCGGGACCGCAGCCCCTCGCTACCTGTTCAGCAGTGCTTCTCTCGGGGCACCTTGGGATGAGAAAGGCCCTTCTCTCTGGTCTCTGTGCTCTAGCTGTAGGGTGTCAACCTGACTCTGCTGCTGTTTCCAACAACGTAAATAATTTCCCTGTACATTTAAGTGGATATATTTTCCAATTATTCTTCCTGTGAGATATAAAGCCTTACTCTTATTGAAATAATACGGTATTATAGGGTATTTTGTCTAGTTTAGCAAAAGAAATATCCATCATTAATGCTTTTCCATTCTGTCCTCAGACCAACAGGAATTCCTGGAAGCAACGAGCCGTACAACCTGGGAATGGTGACAACCCACGGGCTAGAGACTTCCCATGCAGATACGTTTAGCAATATTTCAAGGGAAGGGACTTTAATGGTGAGGGAGGTAAGTTGTAAAACAAATATTTCCATGGAGCATCTTCAGGAGGTTTTGCCCATGTAAGCACCAAAACTAATAGTGCTGTGTGTCCGGAACACAAAATGAGGGAGTAAATTGTGCTCGTTAGCGCTCTTGTCATACAATTTACCCTCGGAGCAAATGTGACAAGTGCAAATGTTTCTCAGAACTACAAACAGCAGTGAATAGTAATGCCAGGGCACAGTGGGGAGGATGCTCGTACAAATTACTCTGCCCACAGCAGCTCCAGGCAACAGAGGTTATCTTCCATTTACAGTATGTAGTTAAAACACTTGGAACCTGGCCCAAAGTTTACCCTCTTTCCAACCTTTGCCACCGTGTCAGAGGCGTGCAGTGTCATTTGGGGTGTCATTACCAGGGGCTGGTCCTGCTCGGGGAGGGCCACGGTCCCCTCCCCACCAGCCAGCCGCCTTGCAAGCCAGCTGCGGGGGGCACCGGGCATCCCGCCTGGACGCCAGCCCCGGCTCCGGCATCGTGGAGGGAAGGCTGCGCTAGGAGCAATCCTGATGGATGGTGCTGCAGAAGCGAGGCAGAGAAAGGCTGTGGAGGATCTCCCCCAGAGTGTTTCTCGGTTTCCCAGTTGATGGAAAGTGCTGGAAATGCAGACAGGTAGCAGGGCTCCCGGTGAGGGGGCAGGGGGCTGTGGCAGTGAAGCAGGGGCGTCACTCTCCTGCCGGCATGTGAAGGAGAGATGGATGGGAGAGGAGGAGGAGGGAGGGCAGGTTGGAGTCAGCAATCAGGAATGTTTAGATCAAATGCAAACTAGGACTGAGCAGCATTTTAATTCTTAATTCCTTTTATATAAAATACTCTTATATGAAGGGGAAAAAATGCATGCAACTTTGCAGGAGAGGAAGGAGTTAGTAAAAGAAATTGCAGCGTATTTACTGCCTTCCTCCCTGAGTCTGGGAGCTGGGCAGCGACGCTCAGCCCGCCTGCCCCCGCGCTGGCGTGGAGCTATTCAGAGCAGGCATCCGCGCAGCTCTCTGCACTCCCTGGTACGGGGTGGGTGATGCGGTTGAGCAGAACCACTGCTACAACAGTGAACACGGTGCTAAGCATCACACCTGTGAAACACGTGCCACGGCAGCAAGGCCATTGGAGAATACAGCGATGCAGAAGGGTTTAATGGCCACGGGTGAGACAGGCAGCTGGGAAACCCCTTAGGGAGGAGGGAGCGTGGTAAGAAACCCCAACTGTGCAGCCTCCTGCGGTGTGCTCCCCACCACCCCCGTGGCCATCAGAGGGGAGACTCGCTCAGGGCTTTGGTGGGGTGGCAAGGTGGTTGAAGGTGGTGGTAACGGGTGAGCAAAAGATAAATGTTGTCAGGACTCGTCAGAAACTTGGTGAGCCTGTTCAGAGGGAGTTTTCCATTAGTCCCAGTAAGTGGAAATCTCTAACGATCTCATCAATGTGCTCCCGGTAGGTAGGATTCATCAAAACTGGCAAATACCTCAAAACGATAGACAAGGGTGGGAGAAACTTCCCCACAACCGTCTTGCACGAGGTGGGGATGGAGAGAAAGGGAGACGGCGGGGAAGCCCGCGGACAAGCCCACCCCCCCAGCCGTTCTGCCAGTGCTGCTGCTGTTCACTGCTGTTTCGGGTTTCAGAAACATGCGATGGGGGCTGTGTTGACATTTGCAGTCAGGCTACTCACTGCCGTGGCTGTGCGAAGCTGTTAAGGCTGATGCTGATCCAGGGGTCAGATTTTGCTGTCGCCGTGGCTGGTGGCCGCGTGGGAGGAGAGCTGGCCATGGGGTTTGCACCCATGACGGCACGAGCAGAATCTGCCCTACGTTCCTTGTCTCAAAACGACTGATCAGGCTTCTTTGCTGGCTAATGACTCTGTATTGACTTTGTGATTAATCCTGTCGTTACTTCTCCTGGGGTGGGGGGTTGGTGTGCTGCTTCCCAGATTGCATGGGGATGGTAACAGAGAGGGTCCTTTTCCTGCCCTTGTTCCAGGACCTGGGGGACTGCCAACGACTTGGTTTTGTTTGGTTTTTTTCTCTTCTTTTTATCTTTTTTTTTTTTTTTTTTCCCCACCCCCCTCTTCTTCTCTTTCTTCCTCGTGCCTTGTGTCTCTGCAGACCTCTGGTGAAAAAAAGCGTTCTGGCCACGCAGCCAGCAATGGCTTTGCAGGTCACATCAATCTCCCTGACCTGGTGCAACAAAGCCACTCGCCTGCGGGCACACCGACCGAGGCCCTGGGGCGAGTCTCCACGCATGCGCAGGACATGGACTCGGTGCCTGAAGTAG